TGTAAACTCAAAAAAAAAAAAAAAAAAAAATTGGATATTTGTAAAGAAAATAAAAAAATTCCCTGTTCAATTTACACCTTTTGCGATTTTATCAGTTCGCGAGGCGTAATTGCGACTTGAACACACGAGCTTCAATTTAATGTTGCGAATCAGTTATTATACAGTAGGATCTATTATCAGTAATATCAGAAGCAAAGATTGATAATATGTAATCCTACTAATGTGCAAGATAAGTTGTTCGCAATGAATAATATTATAGAATTAATTTACATTTTGCTTTTTTCATTTTTTTTTATTAGAAAATTAGAATTGAATGTTAGCGTTTTTAAATATTGCGCGTCCTACCGGAAATACATTTGACCGGAAGATGGTATTGTAAAGTTCAGTGTGCGTTATAGCATGGTTGAGGAATGAGCGTTGTGCTATGTGCGTCTTTCTTGAGGGCCAAATTAAAATAAACACAGGGAAATTATTTAATAAGATGGAAAAGTTGTTGATCAGTAACTCATATTTAGTGAAAGATGTTACATTTTTTATTCGTCTGATCCGTACAATTTTTCATCGATAAAAATCGACAACACGCTAATCTTTCACTCTGACACGCAGAGCCTCCTCAAAGCAATATACTGCGAAATCAAAACATAATACAAATAAAATTAAAAATAAAGATAAAATAAATAAATCATTTGACAATTTCAAATTCACAGAATTAAATGCACTACACTCTAAAGAATCAGTGAAAATTTCACTGAATTCAAATCAATGGCTCAGTTTTCTTTATAATTCACTAGTGAAATTTCACTGGGAATCAGTAAAAACCACTGATTCTCACCCAGGTGAAACGATTCTACGGAAATCACTCCACGGAATTCCGCAAAATTTTGAAAGTATGCCTTTCGCAATTTTGCGAATTTTTTTGGAAGAATTCCATACAGAATTGCACAAAATTTTCAATAAAATTCCACAACTTTATTTTTTGCTGATTTTTTTGTGATTTTAAAATAACTGCTACTACTATAACGAAAACTAGTCGACGATGACTGGTGGATATAATATAGAATTTATGATAGATTAATTAATATCTAGTCGAACTTATTTGAGAGGTCAATAAAACGTTTTCCAAAAGAAATTTACTATTTTTCAGTCAACTAACTAACTCTAGTTGAATTTCTCAACTAATTTTTTTCAGTGTATCCACCAGCAGTTATTTTAAAATTACAAAAAAATCAGTAAAAAATACACTCAATAAAAAAACTAGTAGATTTGACTACTTTTTAACTACCCTGCATAGTTCAATAGGTCCTTAACTGAATTTAAAATGTTGTATGGACTATTAAAAAGTAGTTAAAAGAACTAAGAATTTAGTTGGGTCAAGGAGATTTTGTAATTGTTCTAATTTTTGAAGTTGATTTAACTACTTTTGTTAAGTACAATTTATTAACTACTAATTCTTAACTCCATAAAAAATAGTTAAATTGACTACACGCACATAATTAAAACGCAAGTTGTAAATTCAGATGTTCATTACATGAACATTTTGCTTACTCTTTACGATCAGCAAAAAAATTTGCTTCCTCGTGGAGAAAGCAAAATTTTATTGCCAAAATGTGAATTTTTGATTTTTTAACTTTTATTAATTCTTTAAATTTACCTCAAATGTATACTTTATATATATCGATCGATACGTCTTGACGTAAGGAATACGATTTTATTATATATAACCTTAAATTATTCTATTTAAAAAATTTTTCGATTAAAAAAAATTTTTGGAAAAAAGACGATAAAATTTTTTTTTTGGGTATTTTTCAAAATCCTTTGGTCAGATTTGAGATATTAATATGATAAATGAGCCTACCAAATTTTATCTAAATCCATTAAAACCTGTCAAAGTTATCTTTTAAACAAAAAAGGGATCCACACACACACACACACACACACACACATACATACATACATACATCCGGACATTGATCAGGATCTCATATAACATGTTTCTATAAAGAAAAAAAATTGTTTCCGCCACTTTGAAAAGTTTTATAAACGAAACGACTACAAAGCTTCCTCCACGAGGAAGCAATAACCAAAAAAATAGTTACTTTTACTACTTTCAAGTCAGTTAACTAAAGGTAGTTAAGGATTTCCGCTAAATTTTTTTCAGTGTACAGTTGTGAAATTCTAACAAAAATTTTGTGCAATTCCAACAAAAATTTTGCGCAATTCTGTATAGAGATTATGTGAGTAATTCTTATAAAAAATTCGCAAAATTACAAAAGAACTTCTTTCAAAAATTTTGTGGAAGTTTTTGCGGAATTCCGTATATAATTTTTACGGAATTCCGTGTGGAATTTCCGTGGAGTAGTTTTCGTAGAATCGTTTCACCTGGGCAGTGAAATTCCACTGGTGAATTAAAGAAAACTGAGCCATTGATTTCAATTCAGTGAAATTTTCACTGATTCAGATTTAGAGTGTAAAAAATCTTTTTGGAGATTATACATTCACAATTTGTGTATTTGTGTTAAAATTTGTAAAATTACTATATTCGATAACGTTATGTTACTACATTAAAAAAAGCACTTTTACCATTTTCTGTAAATTTACTACTTTCAAAGTGGGTAATAGGTGAAACATTATTAGTTGTTGCATCCGTCACCTATTACCTACTTTGAAAGTAGTAAATTTACAGAAAATGGTAAAAGTGCTTTTTTTAATGTAGTAACATAACCTTATTGAATATAGTAATTTTACAAATTTTAACACAAATACACAAATTGTGAATGTACAATCTCCAAAAAGCTTTTTTACAGTGTGAATATTGTAGAAAACTAACCTCAAAACAACACGCATGTCAATTTTTCAAACGTTAAATTAAAAAAAAAATACAGGGAAATTATAATTAAAATATAATTGTAATTTATTACAATAATGAAAATAAGTTCAATAATACAAAATTAGAACACTGCAACCTCTTTATACGTATATTTTATAACAATCAATATGAAAAAATACGTGCACAACGCATCTTAACATTTGGACATTCCAGCCAAGACTGACTAACCCACGCTAATTATTAATTCCTCCAAAAATTATGATTTCCGGTCAATCGACTTTTCTAGAATATTCATACTTCCCGTAATCAAAGTATCACACATAATCCCGAGAATATTCAAATATGTTTGTATATAATGTCTTTTATAAATGACCTATTTCAGTTACGATAACGAATTAATTGAGGTTAGGAAAAACCGGAAATAAGGACCTCTAAAGATTAAATAAGAAACTATAAAGTCACCATTTAAATTTGAACATAATAACTTTTAAAGAATAACAAAAGAAAACAAAAATTTTGTAAAAAATAAAAGGCCACATTGAATTTGAAAAAAATGTGAAGGTCATTGTTTCGAAAAAAATGAAATTCTCCAGAGGGTATTAGATTTAGGTATATTTATGTATGTGTAACAGAAAGACGGGACAGACAGACAGACACACTAGGAATGGAATTTCGTGGGTGGATCGGAGCCGAAGAAATGTCCTCGGGCTTCTTGGTAGGCCGGGAATAATTGTACTGAAAACAGGACGTTGCCATTTTGCTCAGGGCTGCCACCTCGATCATTGTAATTAAGGTTTCTTTTGAGCAGACCTCAAACACAAGTAACGTTTATATAGTTGCGGGGGGACCCGGAGGAGAAAAAAAGAGAGAGAGAGAGAGAGAGAGAGAGAAACTTCTTTTTCGAAAAACTTCGTGACGACCTGAATTCGTCGAATCGACAAGCGGCCCTTGATGGACGAGTTGGAATTTCGTAGGTGGTTCCATCAAAAGATGTCCCGAAGCACTTACCAGGATTTCCTTTCCTATACTCTCCTCTCTTTCTTTCTTTCTCTCAACGCCATTAAATAAACTTAAGTGGAATGGCGAAAAAAAGCGACATGCTCCACACAAAGACGAAGAATTTTTTAAACTCCAAAAACAGTTTCAAGAGGACAAAATAAAGAGAGAATAATCTCACCAAGGAGAAATTACACTTATTTTTATTTTTATTAAAAAAATACGTTTACCTAAAAATAATTCTAATTTTTTATTTTTCGTTTACGAGTCGTGTGGGCGTTAAGTAAATTATTCGCCTATCGTGACTTTAAAAAGCCCCACTGTGAAATGCCCACCGAAGCCAATTAGGTCTTCTCCGATTATGGTCGCGACCTAATCGACTCGATAACTCGTAAACTCATTCCACGAAATTTCAACCCTTTTTTCCCTCTCTTAAAGAGAAAAAAATAATCTCACATAATTTTTTTTTTTTTTGTTTTAATAACTTAAGTTTATTATTTAAATAAAACTTGCGACATTGTTATACAAGAATCATATCTACAGAAAAAAAGTACAAAGTTATAATTTATATATTTATATATATGCAGTAGTCAGTAAATTGCGATGATAATCTCATTTCAATTAAAATTATTCTTTTTTTTTTGTATTTTTTTCATTTTTCTCTCTCCGTCGAATTTTTCTCTATTTTTACTTTTATTTTTAGAAAATTTTATTTTAAAATCCAAAATTCGTTTTTTAATTGAAATTGTAAATTGTTAAATTAGAGAAAAAAGAAATTAGTAAATCGAGAAATTCGACGGGAGGGTATGATTAAAAGAGAAAATACAAAACGAGTATTGAAATCGCCGAAAGCTGCCAAAGATACAAGGCACGACAAATTGCTGCACAGAAGCAAAAAACAAAAAAAATTTCTTTTTCTCACAATACATTTGACATGAAATTTTTTTTCTCGAAGAACGATTATACAATTCGATGAAAATTTCTTCTGTTTGTTTTTAAATTACAATACGTAAACGCATTGATGATACACATGCTTGTGGCACTAAGATTCGTGAACAAAATTTTTTCTTTTCTTTTTTTTTTTGAAAAAGTCACAAATATGCAAAAAGATTGTTCCATTTGTAAATTGTAAAAAAGACACTTGAAAATTGTATTTTATAATGATTTTTTTATTATACATAAATTTAATCAGTCCATTTATTTTTCAATTCAATTGTGCGGTTTGAATTTCTTTTCGTCTTAGATTTTTTTTTAATACTCATTTGACGAAAATAATTTTTTATAATTATTAGATATTTGTTGTTTTTTTTGGTATTATTTATTAATTAATGAGACAACAATTTTAACGTAAAATTGTTAATGAATATTGTTCAGTTCAAGTGCGTAGAATTATTTTTAAATTCACAATCACTTGTTGCCACGAGCGAAGTATCTGCGTGCCTTAAATCTACAATAATAATCGATCTTAATCATCTTATATAGTGTAATACAGATAAAAAATACAAACTCGCATTTTATTTTCCTTCCTTTTTTTTATTTTAGAAAAAAAACTTAACATCGAAGTAAACTATAAACAATTAATCTCAACAATTTTTTTTTCGACACTTTTTTATTTTCGAAATCAGACTCTTTTAATTGTTTTGGGATAATTTTCTTTTTTATTTTTTTTAATTTTTGTTTTCTCATAAAATGACAACAACAGATTATCACGCAGTGTGCGACGTATATTAATTAATTTTCATGTACGTTAGCTTTGAATCTATGCGCACTACCTACAATATATAAATACTTTCTATGTATATTTATAGATATTTGGCGTGACTCGTAAAATTGGTAAATGAAGTTTTGGAAGTAAAACGCTTCAGCACGATTTCCACAATTATAATATTTGAAAATTAATTCGAATAATGAATTGGATCCATTGTCTGAACGTTTATGTGTTAGAAACAAAAAAAAAAACCTATTGACACAATGTTCAATTAATTTTCTAAATAATTTATCGTGGAAACATTTTTTTGTTGTTGTTCGTAAAGAAAATATTATATCGAAATAATTCTTCGCGACAATAATAATAATAATAATTATTATTATTTTGAAATATGAATTAAAAACACAATTAGAAAATAAAAATTATTTTATCCGACGATTATCGAATAAAAAAAAAGAGAGCGACTAAAATATAATTGTCTTTAATGCTGACTGTCACGATTGTGTTTTCTTGAATTTTTCGCGTTATAACATATTTACAATACACAATCAAGACAAAGTTTACATTAATTAAATAAAAATTAAAAAAAAATGAGAATAAAATATCAAGGTACAAGTACTTATCGCTCCGTGTTTAAAAACACGTAAAAATAGAATTAGCCAATTAGTTTTTTTTCATATATTCGGTCCCTGCCATTTAGGCACAATTTCTCAATTGTATATAATAGAAATTACAATGAGATAAACGATGGCCCTTAATATTTCACGTTTTTACAATTAGAATCCAACACTTTATTGTTTTTCTTTTTTTTTTTTTGAACGGTGTCGAGACTAAAAAAAACATTAAAAAACGGTTAACAAAGTAAATACAGTAAGGCTTGTATTAAAATCATCAAGTAAATTTAAAGAATATAAATATACTTTGTTGATTATAGTTATTTAATGCGCGAATATGGGGGGAGATTAATAAGGTTTCATCGGTGAATTTAATATTCGAGGATCAATAAAGAAAATGTCTTTGTGAAATTTTTTTACAAAAAATTGCCAAAGTTTTTAATATTATTTTACTTTTTAATTATAGGAATAGAAAATAATTAAATAACCAATAGAAAATATTCTTTAAAAAAAAAAACATTTTTATAATGTAATGAAATCAATTTAAATAATTAAATTATCAAATCAATTAGTTACATTAAATTTTGGTTTAACTGATTAATTAATTTTTTTTTATATTTTATAATTAAACGTTCCTCGAAATAATTATTCAACGAGAATGAAAAACAATAAATAAGGGAAATTTCTGAAAGCAATTAAAATCTCAATAGAAAGAGATGGAAAGAGAGCATTTGATCTAAATTGGTGGTAAAGCCCAAAGAGTTGCCGTTTTATCAGCAGAGGTACTCAGGAATGAGAATTCTGTTGGATGCCAACGTCCAGAAATTACTTTATCCTGATGTTGAGCAACAACAACACTTGGTAGTGGCATCGTCAAGTCACCTGCAAAAAAAAAAATTAATTATACATTAATTAATTGTTAAAAATAATTTTAAATTAAACATTTATTATATTTTTATTATATTCATTAATTGCAAATTAAAATTATTATAGAACGAAACTATTAATATCATGCAGGCAGACTGATGGTTTTTTGGCTTTATAAGAACTTATAAAGCAATTATGATAATTATATAATTTTATGACAATTTGCCATTAAAATTTCCATTCAGTATTTTTTCTCTTTTTTTAAGAAAAAATTTATTATTAATTTTTTATAGCGCTACTTTAAATCAAAGACGAACTAAGAAAATCATAGAAAGATTAACCATTAGTTACTTTATATTTTTGCAATTTATCATGATGAAAATACATTAAATTGGAAATTTATATTGAAAGAAAAAAAAATTGGAAAAGGACCATTGTTTTGCTAAAATCTTAAAATATCCATAAAAATTACAAACAAAATATTATGAAATTTTTTAAAAATATGTGTTTCTTTATTTTTTTAGTAGAAAAATATATTTTTTTATAATGTTAATTCTCAATTGACCATTGGACTTTCTGCATGATTTGTGATAGGGAATTTTGAAAAATTGAAATTTGAAAACTATGTAAAAAAGAAAAAATTTCAAAACATAAAAAATTACCCTGTAGATCCGTTAGGACAAGTTTATTATCATATCCTCCAGTTAGAAGATAATAGGCTGAGGGTGAGAAACGTATACTTCTGATATCCGAGGAATGAGGTTTGAAACATTGAACAGTTCTTCCACCGCGAATATCGAAAAGTACACAACTACTGTCCTCGTGACCAGAGACTAAAAGCCGTCCTGAAGGATCCACGCAAACAGCAGCTGCTGCACTGCCAACCTGAAAAAAAAATTAACAAAAAAATTGAAAAACAAAATATTAACAAAAAAAAATTCTCTCCTAAAATTCATTTTTTAATTGAAATTTTTAAAATTAGTCGAACTTTTACTGATTTAGTTTACCTGAAATTTTTATTTTTTTCTATTGTTTTTTTTTCAAAAAAATCAAACTTTTTTTCAGAAACAGATACAAAAATTGAGTAGAAAATAAATAATAATTAATTAATATTTAAAAAATTGATTAGGGAAAAAAAATTGAAGTTATACCTTGCTACCAGGTACAGTTGCTGGTGTAACCATATTAACGCAGCCTCTCGTCCTGAGATCCCAAAATCTCACTGTTTTATCCTGACCACCACTGACAAACATTGCACCACCCCAATTATAAAGGGACAAAACATGTCCACTGTGACCGCTCAATGCTTGGAATGGTGTTCCCGTTGCGCAATCGGTTACATAAATTTTACAATCTCCAGCTCCTCCACTAATAAGGAGACTAGATTTATTTGATGTGTCCTCAAGAAAACAAAGATCACGAACTGTTCCGTCATGCATTGACAATTCCACTTCTTGGCCTGAAATTTTATTAAATTTTCTTTTTTAATTATTAATATTCATTATGATATTATTTAATAATTTTATTAATATTAATTAATTCATAAATTATGAATTATTATTATTATATAATATTATCATTATTATTATTACTATGATATAATTACTGATTAAATTTTACAATTTTATCTCAAATAATAAAAGGTAATAATTTAAATCAATTATAGTTAAAAAATTTTTTTTCAATTTTCAACTGTTTTAATCAGATAAATCTCATTTTCAAGTACATTACAGATTTTTAGTCAGGCGAATTTAACAATTAAATATAAATAAAAAAAATTAATAATAATAATAATAATAATAATATACTAATAATAGTATCTTAAATAATAATAAAATACAAAAATTAATCTTGACCAGATAAAATATATTCATTTTTAAATATAAAAATACAATTGTTTGACAAAGGAAAATTCTACTTTTAGTAGAAAAAGTTATCATTACTAGACAAATTATATTATTAAGTAGAAAACAAATTTTGGTTGTAGGCAAAATTTACTTTTACATATAAATAAAAATTATTAGAATAGGAAAAATTTTATTTTCAAGTAGAAAAAGTAGTTTCTAGTCAGATAAATTTATTTTTAGAATAAATAAAAATTTCAACTTATAATAAATTGTATTTTTATGTAGAACAAAATCACTTTTAGTCAGACAAAATTTATTTTTATACGAATAAAAATATCAAGTTATGATAAATTATATTTCAAAGTAGAACAAGAAGTTTTGACCAGACAAAATTTCCTTTTGTAAGTGGATAAAGATTTTAAATTATAAAAAAACTGTATTATTATCTAAAAAAAATAGTTTTAATCGAACATAATTGTTATAGATAAAGCAAATAAAATAAAATAGTAATAAAATAAAATTTCAATAAAATTAACGCGTGTAAAAAAAAATTTACTTTTTAAGTAGAATGAGGCGATTTAGTCAGACAAAGTTTATTTTTAAGTGGAACAAAATGTTTTAGTCAGACAAAATTTACATTTATAGAATTAAAAAAATTGATAAAAATTATATTAAATAAAAATAAATGAAAACGTAAAAGAAAATTGTATTTTTAAGTAGAAAATAAAGTTTTTGTCAGAAAAATTTAAATTTATTGAATAAACAAAATAGATATAGTAACGTAAAAAAATTTTATCTTAAGTAGAAAATCGGAATATTATTTGGAGAAAAAATACTTTTTCGATAAAAATGTCAAGTTGTGATAAATTGTATTTTTAAGTAAATCGAATGACATTTACTCGGGAAAAATTTTGCTAATATAAAATAAATTAGAATTTATAATTAAATAATTATTAAATATTAATATCTAATAATATTAATAAAATTAATAATAATAATTATTATTATTATTATTAAATATATTTATATTCTCGTTAAACATAGAACTTTCCATTTAATTTGAATTTATTTGTAATTTAATTTAATAAATTTAATTGAAATTAAAAAAAATATTCTATTACATTATAAATATGACAACTTTCTTTTACAATTTATTCGCGAAAAAAAAATCTAATTCTCAATTATTTCACAATAATTTTACTCAAATGAGTTAAAAAGTGATGTTAATGTTTTTTCTTTCTTACACAGATATCAGAAAATTAGCGAAAGTTAAACCTTTGACATGAGTAACTTTTAAATTATTGTGTCCAGACCAATTGTTATTTTCACCGTGTATAATATCTGAACTTTTGAACTCGCGTCTTGTGAATTATTGTCAACAATGACACTTTCTAAAAGTTTCACGATTTGAAATTTAATTATTTTTTTCTTTTCATCATACATTACCTTCTAGATTTGAGGTATCAGCATTAAAGCGCATTAATTTCACTGTTTTGTCATTACTTCCTGTTGCCATTAAATGACCATCTGGTGTCCAAGCCAAACAATAAATCGAGCCTTTGTGATGTTTTGTTCTTTTAAAAAGAACTGTTGGTTGGTATGTCTGATGATCTTCCCTGTAAACATTATTATACACATTAGCAAAATTAATTCAATATCATAAAATATATAATGTATTTAATTTATATTTATAAAAAAAAAATTTTATTTTTTTTTAATCAAAAATAAAAAAGTAAACGCCTATTAAAAAAATGAATATTAAAAATTATTTAAAGGAAAAAAAATTTAATAATGAATAAATAATTTCAAGAAAGAAGAAACAAAAATTGAAAATAATTTCGAATATTAAAAGCCATATTAAATTAAATTCTCGAATGATTATTATTCCTTTCACTATAAAAAGCATCTCATATTTTTCCTCAAATCTTCTATACGCACCGGATATTCTCAGCAATTACTTTCCACAAGAATCAGGCACATATTTTCCCAACCTTTCCCTTGTTTAACTCAATATGATTAAAACGAGTTCAATTTTCATATTACTTTTTCCATTTAATTTACAACTCTTACGTTACATGAATTATACTTTCTTTAAAATTGTACATATAGTTAAGTGAATTTTTCCTCAATTATTTATAATAATTATTATATTTCAAAGGTTCGTTAATTTTATATGTAATTAAACATAAAAAAAAATAATTTTTTAATAAATAATAATAAATAATAATAAACAATAATAAATGATAATAAATATTAATAAATAATAATAAATTTCTTTTTTGAGCTCTATTTAGATGAAAACTTTTTACGGTTTTTATATTTCTAAAATTATTTTTCTTTATTCAAATTATATAATACATCATTGAAAAATTATTAATAATAAAAATGAAATAATCTATAAATTTTAAAAGAATATATATGAGCATTAAATGATAAACGTTTTGCAAAAATGTTTCATAAATTTAACGATCCAAATAAATTGGGGAAACAAAGAAAAAAAATTTTTTTTTTTTTTTTTTATTTATCAAGAGAGATTTATGTGGACTTTTTTTATAGTATAAAGGAACATAAATTCGCAAACATGAATAAATCATCATTATTTAGCATTTTTTGTACTTTCTCCTCTTATATATATTTTCATATTTATATTAGACTTTGAAAAAAGGAATTTCTGGACCACTTTCAAAAAATTTCAACAATACCCCTCCCGTCTCATCTATTAGAGAAATCGACACAATCAATGAATCTAATCGATTTAGTGTGGCGTAACGTAATGATTACACGGATCGAGGATTCCACAAATTCGAGGAAAACGAAAGTCTATCATTTCCCTTTTTTTTCGTAATGCCAAAAAAAAAATTCAATTTCAAATACACAAATATTAGCACTTCATTATTCTCAAACTAAAATCAATTAACTTAAAATATTTTTATTATTTATCAAAAAAAATTAATTCTCGTGTAATTAATAATTTTCATGATTTCATAATCTAATTGTAACGATTCATAATTTTGGATCCTAATTTTAATTATTTCGTAATTTTTTAATTGATTTAATATTTAATAATTTTTATAATTTATCATTTACATTATTATTTTTCAAATTTATGGTTTTCTTAAAATTAGTTTTTTAATCTATTGCAAAATATTTATTATTGTACAATCTTTTTATTATTTCCTATTTAATTTCGATGATTTTATACTAAATTATCTTTAACGATTTAATAAATTGTTAATTGTGAAATTTGACAAACGAAAAATATTGTATATTAAAAAAATAAAAGAATGTATATATAACCTATTGCAAAATATTTATTATTGTATAATCTTTTTATGAGTTTCTATTTAATTTTGATGATTTTATAATAAATTATCTTAATGATTTAATAAATTATTGTTAATTATGAAATTTGTCCAAAAACGCTCGTTTTGTCGTAATTTACATTTATAAAAAAAAAAAAAAAAAAAAACAAGGAAATATAATTGAGTTGTAAATTTTGAAAAATTATATTTTTATTACTCAGATACAATTTTATTCCGAGCAATATTCATGTTAATTTGACGCGTTAATATTTGCCAAACTACTTTTTTTTATCGTTCCATTTCGACATTTAAAAGAAAGTGATGCTATCTTTTAAATTCAAAAGGAGAATAAAAAAGTGTACACATATTAAAAGCAAAAAATTCATTCAAATACGAATTACGACAATCGAAAGTAGGTACTTATTAAACACTCAAAAAAAAAACAATATTAAAATCACTATTGAAAAATAAAACATTTTTTCAATCAAATAATTTTTTTATTTATTTATTTCAAATAATTTTTACTATATTGTTAATTTAAAATTTGGATTTTGTTATAGTTTCGAATTTTATTTTATGACTTATTCACAATGAATAAAAAAAAACTGAGTTATATAGTTTACAAAAATTGTAGAACATTATCATATAAATATGAATAATTTTTTCTTATTTTTTTTTAGTAAGGAATACGATTTCTAACAATTGACATCATTTGTAAATATCTTTTCAAATCGATAAAGATTGATTTCCCTAAACGGCAGATGCGAATCATAATTTCCAATGAATTTTATATTTCTCACTCAAGTGACTGCAAGTATTTTATATATATTTTTTAAACATTTTAATGTATTTTATTTTATTTTTTTAAATTTATATTTGACTTTCTCTTTAACAGCAAAATTTCTCCATTTTTACGATTTATCTTTTTAAAAATTTTAAATTTTCCTTTTATAAAATGAGATTTTTTAAACAATTTTTACTATTTTTATCATTTTTTTATGGAACTTTTAATATTTTTCAAAAATATTTTCTAATTGAAATTTCTTTTTGAAATTATAGAGATATTACAAACTTTTGACGCTGATATTAAAATTTCAACAATTTTGTAGTTCTGTCAGACTGTAATTATGTTTTACTACTGAATACAAATAAGATAATATAATATTATATTATTATAATATAATATTATCTTATACAAAAAAAATTGTTTTAAATAATATAAAATAATAATTAATAAATAATATAATTAATAATGTAATACCAATAAATAAATTAATAAATTAATTATTAATAATAATTAAAAAAATAATTTAAGGATACGAAAAATACTAATAAAAATATTGCTTATATTTTTCAGAGGCTAATTTAAAAAAAAAGAAGAAAATTTCCTTACCGAACATCGCTGAGTTTTGGATAAGCGCATATTCTAAGGGTTTTCGAATTAGATCCAACTGCATAGAGTTTTCCATGGGGATGAAATTCAGCACAGCGAACGGCTTGAACATCTTCGAGTGCGGTAACTGGAATAAATCTCGGTCGACCCCCATTGCTACTTCCGTTACTCACATCCAAATCCGGTCTTGGTTCCTGCTAAAAAAAAATAATATTATAAAATCAATTTTTTTAAATTAAAATTAAAAATTCAATTTCAAATCAAATTTCTAAAAAATTTTTTTATTAATTCTATTGCAATGTTCACACGTACTTATAAATTCTATTTGATTTTATTGTTTCAAAAAATCATCAATTTTAAAATATGATAAATAAAAAAAAATTCATCTATTTTTTTATTTAATTTATTTTTGTAATTAAATTACAATTTTTGTATTAAAAAAATGGTTAAAAAATTATTTTTTTTCTTATTTTTTGATGGAAGAATGCATTCTTCGAGTTTGATTTTACACAACGGAACTTGGGCACGCTTTTACTTTCAATTTCCATCAGTATATATACGTGAACTGACCAGCCTATCAGATATGCGATTATCATCTTGGCGAATCCATTACCAAAGCAAATGAGAGGCAAGTTGTTCTCTTGGCAGCCAGTGCAAGACGAACTTTTTAATTCTTCTTAATAACGCGCACTTTAATAAAAAAAAAAAAGAAAAAACACTTTATATACGCACCGAGTATATTAACGGTATTCCCTGTGAGCCAAGTTTTTTTTTTTTTTTTTTATAAAAATGTACATTATTCTCTTCACTTTAGTTAATTTCAATAATTTCCTTTTGATCATAAAAGGATGTTTTCCGTTTAAATACACATTTATGCAAAAAAAAAAATAATTATAAAAAACTATATATATAAATTATAATGATAGTGGTGTAATCAATTATACAGTTTCCTAATAGCCTTGAAAAATTATAAACTTTCAAACAATGGCAAGAAAAAGAAAAGATATTAAAATTAAAAATATAAATACATTGTAAACAAAGAACTAATTCGACAAATTTAAGAAATTCAAAATTTAAGAATTTCTTTTTTCACTGTTTGTTGCCATAATTAATTTTGATATTCGAAAATATGAAAAAAAAAAAATTATTATTATTATTCTATTATTTTTTTTATTATTATATAATAATACGGTAACATTAATTAATTAAATTTAATTTTATTAATTTGTTAGAATTTTTATTTGACAGAATTTGCTCGAATTTTCATTAGACATAAAATAGTGATTAATAGAAATTTTTTTTTACAGAAAGAAAGAATTTTTTTCTAAACCGAATTTTCATTTGTTCGAATTTACATATGTTACAGAATTTTTGAAACGCTGAATTTTTAATTCACAGAACTTACATTTGTTTGGATAAATATTTGGCATAAAAATTTTGGTGCTTATTTTTCTAACAGATATTAGTTATTCGAACAAATGAGAGATTTGAAAAAAAAATTTTTTAAATCATTACATTTTGCCTAACAAAAATTTGAGAAAATAATACTAGTCAAATTCAAATTCTATGAAGTAAAATATCTGTAAAATAATAATTTGTACAAATTATTTTGACTGAAAAAAAAAATTCTCTAATATTGTTTATGTAAAATAAAAATTTTTTGAAATCACTATTCTGTCTAATGAAAATTTGAGAAAATAATAATTCTGTCAAGTTCAAATTCAATGAAAATCTGTAAAATGAAAATTTGTTTAATTAACCATTTTTAAATGTAGAAACTCGATTTAATGAAATTTCTGTTAAATAATAATTCAAAGAATAAAAAATTCGGCTAAAAGATGCGCCTGTAGGTCAGAAAGTTCAAATCAACGAAATTTTTTTTACTCTGTAAATTTTTTTAAAATTACTACAGAAATTAAAAAGTATTTTAAAACATTTAATAAATTATTAATTTATTTTTGGGTACAAAAAACAATATTTTATAATAAAATTTGAAATTAAAACAGTAGTAAAAAAATTTTCTTTCATTTCAACGTCCAGAACTTCAGGTACCAAATTAAAATAAATTCTAATTGTAAGTAATAAAATTCTGTATAAAAAAATTTTAACAAATAAATTTCATAATTATTATTATTTATTATCATTAATAATTATGCCTCAATAATAATTATTATTAGTTATTATTTATAGTTATTTAATAATAAAACCTGTCTTTGATATTCGCAATGAAGAAAAATTCAACAAACAAAATTTTTTAAAAAAATCAGGTACATTTGGAATTTTGGCCTAGTGAATGTTGTTTTTGAAAAAGCTCTAAGGCATTTTCTCGTAGACCAAGTCAGGTATTACCGGATTGTTAAAACAAAAATTGAGTGGAAAAAAAGGTCGGTAACGCGGAACCGGTAATATCGCGATCTTTCGTCCTTGTCGTGAATATATATTTATATATAAGGTAATTATTATTCTACTTTCACTCAAATCGACTCCGAAATGTATATATAAATATAAGTCAAATTCAAAATATATTAACCCAATCATATGAAAATGCGCAATTTTAAAAATATTTTAAACTTACAGAGAGAACATGTGGGACAGTTTGCATAATCAAAGAGCGTTTATCGGAAAGAAATGTTACGCCATTGTAATCATAGGCCATCGTCATCGGAAGTACTTCAGACTCATTCAATGTAACAAACAAGCGGACCTCAGGCGCAACAAGTTTATACAATTTTTACCGTTATTAATTATTATTATCATCTAAAGATTGGATGTATACAATAAATTTTATTAATAAAAAAAAACCCTCGTGACTCCTTTATTTTTTCAACTGGAAGAAAAGATAAAAATCGAAAAGCGAAAATATATCGAAAATGGTAGAGAATTTTTTTTTTGCAATAATTTCCTATATGGAAATTAATTAAATTAAATTAATTAATTATATTGAATTAAATTTTCAAAAATTTATTATTTATTTAAGAATTTTTATTTAAGTGAATTTATGTTCGAAGGAATTTTTATTTAGTCGACCTTTTATAAAATAGATTCTCTACTTCGCAGAATTTTTATTCAATATAATTTCTATTTAACAGAATTTTTATTTTGAAAAATTAACATAATACAAAGTTTTAATTAAAAATTACTTTTTTTATTCTAATTTTCATTTAGCAAAATATTCACTTAACAGAATTTTGACTTAACTGAATTCACATATAAATTTCTATTTGACAAAATTCTTATTTACATGAATTTTCAATAAAGAGATTTATTATTTTAAAAAAATATTATTTAGCAGAATTTTCATTTGACCGAAATTGGAAATGGCCGAATTAATATCGGACAGAAAAGTTTTGACACAAATTTTAAAATTAACCAATCAGAAATAAAAAAAGAAATTCTGATTTATTAATTGTAAAATTCTCGCCAAAACTTTTCTGTCAGATTTTTGTTCGGATATTTGCAATTTCGGTCAAATGAAAATTCAGCATTTTCAAAATTTTATATCAAATGACAATTCGTACAAATAAAAATTCTGGTAAATGAAATTTCGATAAAATAAGAATTCTGGCATTTAAATATTCGAATTAGTCAAAATTCTGACAATTTTATTAAATGGAAATTCAGTTAAATCAAAATTTGAATATTCTGAATTCTGCTAAATAAAAATTAGATTAAAGAACAATTATGTTAATTAAAAATTCTGTATTATGAAAATTTTTCAGAATATAAATTCTGTTAAGTTGAAATTATATTAAATGAAAATTCGGACAATTAGTAAATCTGTTTTATAAAAATTCGACTAAATGAAAATTCCTTTAATAATGAATTCAATTAGGTAAATAAAAATTCTTAAATATGAAAATTCTATTCAATATAAAAATAAATTCTATACTTTATAAAATTCGGTGACATATTTTTATTTAGTTTTTTATTTTATTTTTTTATTGGAATATTTTTATATTCTATTGAAATATTCATTTTCAATTTCAGTTTTCTTTTTGTCTGCAGAAAAAAAAATGAGAAATTGTAAATTTTGACTTAAATTCGATTATAAAACTGGGTCAAAACAGATGTCAAGTATTTCATGGATGACGATGAAATAAAATAAGTTTTATAGACGTGAAAAAGAATTGAAAGGAACATTATCGTAATTGACTGCTTACTCATCTTTGAGCGTTGCAATCTGTTTTTTACGATCATTTGTCAACGCTGACTAGTCATTATGTCGACTTTTGTTTATTTAAATTAAGAACAATAGAGCACTTTACGTCTCATTCTATATAGCGAAAGGAGAAAATTTTATTTCTCCCTTCTATATAATTATAATAATCGAGAATTAATGAATTACAAACGACAATCGAATATAATTTAAATAAAGAAAGAATAATAAATAAATATTAAACAAATATCAAATAAATACTAAAATAAATAATAAATAAATATTAATTAAATATTAAATAAATTTTACTATAGACTTATAGTAAATAAAATTAAAAAAAATTAAGTAAATATTATATAAATTAAAAAAATTATATTTCAGTAAAATAATATTTACAGTTTTAAATACTAATTGCAAATAATAAAATATAAAAAAAAACACTCAATTATAATTAAATGTTTAATAATTGAGAGAAGATCGCAGGAAATAATCTATTACGAGATACTGTTTTAATAATATTAAAATAATAATTTTCATAGTTTCTCCGATTTAGAAAAAAGAAATACTAGTTCAGAAATCATAAAGTCTAAATTTCAAAGAAACTACAATTATATCGTTTAGATATATGTAATCATTAAATAAGGGATCTGGTAGTAATAGAAAATTACGGTGATTATAAAGTACATATATTTTTTCCCATTACACTTGTATTAGAATTACTTATTTCCGGGACATATGCAAAAAACTTTTTGTGCCTCAAGTGTGTATTACGCCATGTATACACATAAAACGATATCGTTACACAAAATTCAATTTAAATCATAATATTATTTAAATTGAGTAATTTAATTGATTAATTTAATAATTAATAATCGATTTTTTTATTTATATATTATTTATAATTTTTTTCGTTCTAATTTATTTCATGTTATATTTATACCAAAACTTTGCAATTAGAATCTCGATGATATATATATATATATATATATAATTTGATAAAAATACCGGAAATTGTTCTAAATAATTGAAAACAGTCATGGG